AGATGTGTGGAACTATGGATATTAAACTATGGATTAAAATAAATACAAAACCATCCCAATTTTAAATTTCTTTTCCTATCAGTTTGGCAAGTTGAGTTTTTCCAGAAATGCCCATTTCCTCTAAAATTTAAAATCTATTAAGATTATATTTATCTTTTAAAAAATATTTATTTATTTGACTCAGCCAGGTCTTAGTTGGTGCATGCACGATCTTTAGTTGTGGCATGTGGGACCTAGTTCCCTGACCAGGGATTGAACCCTGGCCCCATGCACTGGGAGTGCAGAGTCTTAGCCACTGGATCACTAGGGAAGTCCCCTATACTTATCTTTATAGTCATTAGAATCTGTAGTATGTCACTGTTTCATTTTTAATGTTGGAAAATTCTACCTGCTGTCATTTTGTTTTTTAATCATTTTCAAAAACCATATTAGTCTTTTCCAAGAATCAGTATTTTGTTTTATTTTCCTTATATGTGTTTCTTTTTCATGTTTTTAAGTTTTGCTCTTATCTTTATTATATCCTTCCTTCTACATTTTTTTAGTTGAGGTGTCTTTTTTTTTAACATCTCATGCTTTTGAGGTTATAAAATTTCCTCAGCACATCTCTAGTTGCATCTTATAAGTTTAAATGTAGTATTTTCATATCATTCAATTAAAATGTATTCTAATTTATGTTGTGATTTTTCCTTTTACCATGATTTGGAAGTGCATTGTTTATGTTTCAAACATTTGGAAATATTCTAGTTTTGTTTTATTATCGATTTTTGGACTATTTTCATGGTGGCTATAGAATATAACTCACTGTAATCCTCTGAAATTTGTTGAAGTTTGTCTCAACAAGTGGCCAATTTTGGTTAATGTCTCATTTGTGTTAGAAGATAAAGTATAGTCTGATGTTGTTGATAATGATAAATTTATGTCAGATCAACTTTGTTGCTCATGTTGCTCGCATATTCTATATATTTACTGATTTTTTTTTCCTGCTGGTTCTTAGAGTTGCTGAGAGATGTGTGCTAAAATTTCCCACTGAGATTGTATATTTATTCTTCATTCAGTTATGTCAATTTTTGCTTTAGATATTGGGAAGCTATTAGATAATGTTATTAGTAATGTTATTAGTTCATGTAACATTAGGATTGACGTATCTACCTGAAGGTTGATTCTTTAATAATAAGCACATATTTGTCTTAATCTCAAGTAATTCTTCTTGTCTTTGAGTATCTAATATTGGTATATTATACCAGTGTTACATCTTTTTCTACTTTTTTACTTTCAGTCTTTCAATATCGTTATATCTAAGGTGTACTCATGTAAAAAGTATATTGCTGTTGTAGATTTTTAAAGAGTTTGATAATTTTTGTCTTTTAATTGAAGTAGCTCAGCTGGTAAAGAATCTGTCTGCAATGCAGGAGACCCCAGTTCAATTCCTGGGTCGGAAAGATCCGCTGGAGAAGGGATAGGCTTCCCACTCCGGTATTCTTGGGCTTCTCTGGTAGCTCAGCTGGGAAAGAACCTGCCTGCAATGTGGGAGACCTGGGTTTGATCCCTGGGTTGGGAAGATCCCCTGGAGAAGGGAACAGCTACCCACTCCACTATTCTGGCCTGGAGAATTCCATGGACTGTATAGTCCATGGGGTCACAAAGAGTCAAGCAAAACTTAGCGAGTGAAAAACGAGCAACAACAAAAAACACATAACATTAAATTTACCAACTTAAACATCTTTAAGTGTACAGTTCAATAAAGTATACCCACATTGTTGTACAACAGAGATCTAGAACTTGTTCGTCTTGCAGTACTGAAACTCTATATCCACTGAACAGTCATTGTCTCTTTATATTAATGTAATTGCTCTTACGTTTGGGCTTAATATGTCATTTTGCTATTTGTTTTCTACTTGTCTCAGATTTTCCCCTTTTTACTATTATTACACTAAATAAGAATTTTTACTATTACATTTTCCTTCATTAGCGTATTAGTTATGAATTCCTTTTTAGAAAATTATTTTAGTAGTTACAATTAAGATTTAAAATACCATTAATTTATCTTATAAATCAATATTTTTACCAGTTGCCTGATCATCCAAGAACCTTAGAGAAATTTGTCTCTGCTTAGTTCAATCTGCTATTTGTTACTGTTGAAATGTATTTTAATTACACATCTATTTTAAACTCCATATTATAAATGTTTTATACAGTGGACACTGATTTATTCTCACTCATATATTTATATTCTCCAATACTTTTTCCTTGCTGTTGTTTTTTTTGCTACAATCTATAATAACTTTCTTCTCCCTTTACTGTTTTTTGAGTGTGAATTCTTCTTGTGACAAATACTTCCAATTTATATTTCTGAAAACATCTTTATTTTGCCTTCATTTTTCTTATATTTCAGTATGTATGTATGTGAAAGTCATTCAGTCATGTCCAATTCTTTGAGACCCCATGGACTGTAGAGTCCATGGGATTCTCTAGGCCAGAATACTGGAGTGGGTAGCCTATCTCTTCTCCAGCGGATCTTCCTGACCTAGGAATTGAACCAAAGTCTCTTGCATTACAGGCAGATTCTTTACCACCTGAGCTATCAGGGAAGAATTCAATATCGGCAATATTTTTGTATCAGCACTTTGAAGCTGTAATTTCAGTATATTTTGACTTTCATCGTTTTAGATGAGATTAGGGCTCAGTTTTATTGTAGTTCCTTTGACAGTAATATATTTCTTTTTCTCTGATATATTATTTACTTTTCCTCTGTGAGTTAGCAGTTTTACTGTCACATGCCTAGAGGTAGTTTCTTTGTATTTATTGTTTTGGATTCATAATTTACTTCGAATATTTGAATAATCTCTTTAATTACTTTTGAAAAATGATTGGCTACTCTTTTCAAATGTTGTTCCATCCCCTTTTCTCTCTCCTTTCCAAGGGGAACCCTGTTACATATATCTTAGACCTTTTATCTATGTCATCTATGTTTCTTATGATCATCTCGGTTTTTTGATAATTTTATTATTGGTTAGTTCTAATTAATTACCTTCCATCCCTTGCACTGGCCAAATCTCCCACCTGAGTGCCTGTACGCATGCTCTGCCTGGGTCAGCATCTCCCGGTACCTTGCCTTTGCCGTAAGTCACTTGTTATTCAAGTCTCGGCTTAGCTTAACTCTCTCTAGGAAAACTTTTATGACCTCTAAATTCTTGCCTCGATTCAGAGTACTGTGTTTTTCCGCAGTGATATTTCTCACCCCCCTCATATTCAAAATGTATGTGGGACTTCCCTCGTGGCCCAGTGGATAGGAGCCCACCTGCCAATGCAGGGGACGCGAGTTCGCATCCTGGTTTGGGAAGATGCCACGTGCCTCAGGGCAGCTGAGCTCGTGCACCACCGCCACTGACCCTGCGCTGCAGAGTCTGTGAGCCGCGACTGCCGAGCCTGCGTGTCGGAACTGCTGAAGCTCAGGCATCTCGAGCCTGTGGTCTGCAATGGGGGAGCCTCCACAGCGAGAATTCTCGCACCGCAGCTAGAGAGTAGCCCTTGCTTGCCGCAGCTAGAGAAAAGTTTGAGCAGCAGCGAAGATCCGGCACAGCCAAAAACAAACAAAATAGATACATTTTCAAAAAGCAAAAGAACATGGATGTTTTACTTATTTGTAGCGCCTGAACAACGATAAGCTTCAACCGGCAAGGCTAGCATTATTCCAGTCATGAATCGCTAGCATCTAGTATAGCACTTGGCTCATAACAGGTGCTCAGCAGTTCTTTGCTAAAGGGATGAATGAATGAATAAGATGCTTTAAATGTATTTGGCAGTATTTATTTCTCATGATGATGTTTACATTTATTGATTTTTTGGTATGTAACCTTATAAGCTGGTAAAATAGCGTTATTTCTGTTTTTAAAATAGGCAAATAGAAACAGAGAGGCCAGATGACTTGCTTGGGGCTTTTCCAGGACTTTTAATGGTGAATGTGTATCTCATCTCTATGTACTGTAGATTTCCAGGTTGATGTCAAGATTATGTACCAAAGTTTTCTCTCACTCACTACTTCATTTCTCCTTTTACATTTTTACCACTGTAATTGTCATTTAGGATGCCCTGAAAGCTAGAGAGATGCATCACCCTGATTAATCAATAATTTTGAGGATTTTTAGAGAGTTTAATCATTTATCACTAAGCAAAGCCTCCTTTCCCCCCGTGACTCTGTTAGTCTGGGCCCATGTTACAGGGAAAGGGCATGTGACAGGTGGTAGCTCTTCCCTTTTAAGGTGAGATTATGTATAGAAATTCTAGGAGATTGTGAGAAGTTAGTCATTCATATCATCGAAGTGCTTTGTAATTGAAACCTGTGAGTTAAGATCCAGCTTATGAATCATTATAATTAGATGTTAGTAAACAACTTCAAAACTGTGTGTCGTACCTGGGAGACTGGGGACGGATTCAAGGTTCACTGCCTTATCAGATTCTTCTGCTGCTGACACTTTGGCTAGGAAATCATTTCATTGTTAAGAGGAGAGAGTTCTTATATAAAATCAGTAACGTGTTTCATTGTTAAGAGGAGAGAGTTCTTATATAAAATCAGTAACGTGATGAATGAAATGATCTTCTCTGTGATCTCTTAAAAGTATTCTTAAACAGAAATATTAAGTCATATTTAATATTTTTAAATAGTTTATCATTAACTTCCATCCTGAGAATGTTTAAAACTAATGTATATCATTTTTGTGTATTTATGTGGAACGGGGAAACATTTTATTTCTATATCTGTAACTGTGCCATACTCACTTCAGTTGTTGAGATTACTACTGGAAGAACAGTGAGGCAAGACAGACAGTATCTGAAGGCTTTTCTAAAAGTTGCCTCTTGAATGTCACACAATGGGGGCCCCTGGTTTAGACAGGAATCTGAAAGTGGAAGCAGAGTTCGAGAGACTAGAAAGCATTGACTTTCCTGAGCCCCATCCTAGCTTGACTAGAAAGCTTAAGGGTGATTTTATTCATGCCTTTCAGGTAGCATCCTTTTTAAGTGGATGGCCATGGAGCCCAAGAAGATCTCAGAAAAGCAGGAGGAAATTCTTTCTATCCTGGAAGAAAAATTCCCCAGCTTACCTCCAAGAGAGGACATCACCAGTATCCTGCAGGAGACCCAGTCCAGTGCTCAGGGTGAGTGACAGCTCCCCAGCTGTGTCGTAGCAGCCACGGAGGCATAGTTTGGGGTGTGGATTGTTGCTGGGCCCCGGGAGGTGGACTTGTGTGTGCCTTCGCTTTCTTCCCTAATATTCATGCTTGGGCAGAGTTTTCAGGAGCATTGTGTTGGCTCATCTGGAACCAGACAGTTCACGCTGCACGCTTTCCTCTGAGGCCTTTGTACCTGGGTGTGTGGTTAATTCATGTGTCTAATAGGCACCCCGGATGCATCATTACAGGAAATCCTTGTGCTGGGAGGGCTGTATTTTGAGAATATGGCATGAACAATGTCAAGCACAATGGGATATCATAAATTAATTTGAGAAAAAAATGAGAAGATTCTTAAGCAGATAAAATTATTCTGTAAGTCTGGGCTTTATCAAGAGAGTGGATTCCCTGGTTCAGTTGTTTAACAATAGTAATAATAACAGCAGCAGTTCATTAGGTGTCTAATATACACGAGGTTCTGATGATACAACTTTGTATGAATTTTCATAAGGAGTCCTCACGACAACCCTGCCAGGTGGAATTATTATCCCCAATTTTCAGATGAAAACTCTGAAGCACAGAAAAGCATCTTTGCTTTCGCATCATCACACACTCAGCCGGCAGGTGGCCAGGCCAGGATTTAAACCCAGACAGTCAGTCTGACTTAAGGTGTACAGCTTTCTCCCTTAGTTTAGAATCCTGTAGGGGCAGAGTCTGAGGCAAAGCGATATATTTGGGAGGTGATCCCAGGAAACACTGATAGGGCCTGGAGCACTTTAACCAGCAAGTTATCTTTGTGGGAAATCAGGCCTTTTATCCCACTAAGGACCTCTGGAAAAGAGTGTAAAATTGCACTGCAGTGTTTTCCTACCCAAGGGGTACAGTGGCACATTGGAACTTGTTTATCGGAGCTCCAAGAGCTGACGCCTAAATTTTCAGGAATTTTGTGGTGGGTTGATGTTGGGTTGGCAGGTTGGAATCGGCCATGGTATGAGTATTGACAGCACAGAAATTCATGCCATGAATCAGGTTTTGTTAGGAGTATACCACTGGAATGTTGAGGGTTACTTAGTTCCAGGGACTGTTAATTTTCCTGGGGTGGGCTTTGATGGCCAGAGAAAGCCCTCAGGAAAAGAGATGCAGGTGCCGGCGGTTGAGCGACTTGCTAGGGCATGAAAGTCAGAGGAAATGTGGGCGGGCCACTGACACATCTGTTACACATACACATGTGCAGATATATGTGGATGTGTAGCCGCATGGTGATGTGCATTTTGTCATTCATTTTCAAAACTAGGTCAAACTTTTCATGTCACTATATATTCTATAAATCATTTTATGCTGTTGTATGATAGATGGCAGCTTTTCAACCTTTGAGTGGAAAAGAAATATTTAGTAGCTGTTTCCCCCTGCTGCTTTGATTGATAGTGTTATAAGTTGAGAGGGCAAATATTAATAATTGGCAAATAATGATTGACTCTGCTGTCTTAATGTACATCTGAGAAGGAGATACATGCTTTACTGGGCTTTAATATAGGTCTTCTCAAGAGTTTAGACCTGCTCTGATGTAAAAATGTAGAGTGAGAATTTAGTATTAAGCCAGACCCTTTCCTGTTTTCCATGATAGATTTTATTGAAGCACATTGATCTGCTGGCTGAAACTATGCAGTTTTAGATAATCTATCCCTTCTGGATTATTCTCCCATCATTTAAGAAATCCCATAGCTCCTATTGCCAGAGCTTATTACAAGGGTGGCCAACTTAATTACGATAGTTTTATGGGCCATATTTATAAAGTGCATTGTGAGTAAAATTACAATTGAAAACATGAGGCTTTTCTAAATGCATTCTGAAAGCAAATTTTCACTTTCCTAGGTATTATTTGGTTGTTTGCATGGTTATGTTGGTTTTTCTTACCTACTGCACTTTTCTACTCTGCTTCTGTCTGCTGTGGGTTTCCAGAGTCTGACCTCTGAGTGTTTAATCTTCTGGGCTCCCCTGAAGATTACTGGTTTCAGTTGAATTTGGTCCACAGAAGAGTTAGAAATATATGGGGCGTAGGAGTCAAAGGAAGGGGAAGAGACTGTTGTATTTCTTCCCTGCTCCCTTCCTGCTTGGTGCTTAGTCCCTGGCAACCCCTCTCTGCTACTCCAGATATCTGTTTCCTTCACCCAAACTTCTGCTAGTATCTGGATGCCTCTTTTATTAATTTTCTCAGTCCCACCCACATCTCTGCAAGTGTCTTACCATTAAAGAATCTTCTTCAGCATCCTGAGAGGTGAATTCTGTTTCCTGCTGGGATCCTCACTGATGCAAATATTATCACTATGTGATTTTTTGCCTTCATGTGTGTTTATTATGGTTAAAAGAGATATGAGAGGGGAAATACTGAAATTAACAGGGTGACATCTTCAAATAATCCCTTAATATTACCAAAAATCTTCAAATGTAACGTAATGTTTTTTCTCTCACCCACAGGTTTAGGTATTGAACAGACAATGCTGAAGAATCTAAAGGAGCTTTCAGATGGAGAAATAAAAGTGGCCATTAGCACTGTGAACATGACCCTGGAGGTAAGGGTGGGAAAGCTTTTTTGGCAATGATGGATTTCATACAGCTGCATCTTAAGCAACTGGAACAGTTCTCTCTATTGCATAGTTAGTGTTAGTCTTTTGCTACGAATGCTTCTTTATGGTATATTTGACTAGAAATGTGCCTTATTATTTTGGATGAAAACACTGTGCTAAACCAATGAAAGATGCCAGAAAACCTGGATTCCCAAAATGAGTGCTATTTCATTCATCTCAGAATGAAACAAAACAAACATCTTAGAAAAACAAAACAGACTCACATGTGTATACATGTATGTGTATTTATATGTATGTAACCTGTTTAGCAACAGTGATTATCTATGTGTTTAGAGAAGGAAATTTAGATTCACTTCCTTTTTCTGTGCCCCACCCTGCATTGTCCGTAGATCTTTGCTAAGAAACTAAGTTGTTCTTTGGATTCTGTAAGCTCTTTGGATGCATGTCATTTTGATAATCAATGATGAGAACTCTAGAATTAATAAGACCCTCCTTCCAATCTGTTAAATGAATGATCCAGAGTGAATATAGCTCTTGATTTTGTGTATTTCCTTGGTAAATTGTCTTTTGTCTACTTTGGGGCTTTTCAGTGACTTGCATGTTAATCCTAACTAGCCTAACTAATGGAATTATATTTTACAGAGGCACAGTTGTGTGGTGTAGAAGTCTGAGTTTTTTGGGGTTTTTTTACTGTTACATTGCCTTGATCAAGTGATCCATCTTTAATTGAGGCACTGAACTCTCAAGTCAAGTTTATGGGAATAAAAATTGCTGAATAGGACTTGGCGTTTTAGGTTTTAGAACTGTATATTGCTGTTCTTTTTATTTGTTTCATGGTAGTGATTACCATATCACTGTGTATATTTCTAGGGCATGTGTAAAGGTTCCATGCCTCAGGAAACCCAAGCGCATACCAGGCTCTTTTTTTGTGAGTTCTTTGTCAAATTGTTTCTATTGTTTTTTGATAATGCAGTTTGACTTGTAGATCCATATGAATACCAGGAGGTTGAGTGTTGTCACTAAAGACTCTCACATGTAGTGGTGATATAGTGCCTCACAGTATATAGTACACATTCTTGTTGCATGTAGAAGCTCAACTGTTTCTATGGACTTCTGCATTGATAAATGCTCCATATAATTAGACGAAGATGTGATTCAATGCAGGAAATACATGCAATTTGGGATGTAGTAACCAGATAATCACCTTCAATTAGAAATCTGCTTTGTGTCTAGAAATGCAAGGAAGACATGGATCTTGCAAGGGTCAGTAGCTCTGAGAATCATTTCTCCCAGTTCAACCTTAGGGTTTTCTTTCTCTTTCCCTCCTCCCCTGTCTCCCTTCATTTAATGGCAACTTATTAGGTTTTAAATGCCTTGTTTGGAATTCCTTTCTAAATTAACTTAGAGCATCTTCTAATTGCTTAGGGAACTGTCTGTAGTTGGCAAATTATTTTAAGGCTATTATTATTATTATAGACTTACTGTAGCTTTAAGGTACCTTCATTTATAATTTAGGTGTATACAAATAGCTTTGTCAGATATGTTAAACTGTAAATGTTTGTCAAGGTGAATAAGTGATAAAAAGATCATCTTAATCTTGAGAGTAATTTACATAGAGGTCCAGTAATTAATCAGGCCTCTAAATAATCTCTGGAAGAGCTATATGATCTTCTGGGAGGAGGGAGAAGGATATTTATACATATAAGAAGGGTATGCAGATTAAACTCTAATCTACTGAAAGAGAGCTTTTCACTTTTGCGTGGATATTAAGGATGACTGAGCAATGGAGAAGGAACTCCTTAGTAACATTGTGTATCTTCTTTGAAAGGGAAAATGTACACTGTTTATTTAAGCTTTTAGTTGGAAAAATCCCCAAGCTAAGGGCAGAGTGTGGTTTTCTCCATAGATCAAGCTGTGATACAGTGGCATTTTCACAATCTCTGTCTGTATTTGATTATATTTCAACATTCCTTTCCCATCCGCATTTAAAAAATCATGATAGAATCCCACCATCTTATTTTGTGTATTTTGGAACAGCTGTCTAATTGCCCTTTAAATCTAGATATAATCTCAAAGAAATGTCCTTAGTTGCTATGGCTTTCTAAATCTTGCTTGTCCTCCAAAGCATGGTTGAGACCTAGCTACTTCCTGATGACTCCTAGAAATTCTCCATTTCCTATTACCACTTGAAAAATTGACCAACTTAGGACTTAAATATATATTGTATCTTCCATTAATTTTGAACTTGTTTTAAATATTTAGTCATAGTTAAACAATATTTTAAGTTAACAGGGGATAAAGATGGTATCGTTGAGTTCTCTCTCTCTTTAATTTCCTGGCACAATGCTGGAGACAAAGTAGGTACTTGGTAAACACAAATCCATGTTGGTGTCTGCCCTTTGTTCCTTTGATATCTGATTTTTATTTCCTTTTAAATTTAAGTAAGTCAGCTAGGAAAGCAAAGCTATCTATCTCTGCATCGAAAACAACTTACTTTGTTTCCTTCCAGTCAGTTTCAACTATAGCTGAAGGCTCAAATCAGATAGGTAAAATATAGCCCATATATTTGTCAGTAGAACTGCTTCTCCACCTGTCCAAAAATGGAATTGGTTACTTGTCCCTGGAAAGGATCACCTAGAAGTTCCATGTGATACCAGGGCAATAAAAAAAGAGGATTCCTTACATTTTCAATGTCCCTTTGCAATGCTGCAGCTCCATAGTTGTATGTATCATGACCTTTATCTGCCTGGTGACCCAGTTAATTTTTGGGGGTGGAAATATTGAGAAAATGAAAAGAATTTGTCTCCTTGTGACACATATAGCATGTTCATTTGAGGGAAGTACTGGTTTAGGCTGTAGAAACCACTGCCTTTAACAGATGGGTTAATTCTACCATATAAAGAGAAGGCTGCTAAACCTTTTGTCTCTTATTTGTATTGCAGTACATCTCACAAATGATAGTTGTTCTTATTAAGGTTATCTCGGTTACTGAAAGGGCTTCCCTGGTAGCTTAGCTGGTAAAGAATCTGCCTGCAATACAGGAGACCCCAGTTTGGTTCCTGGGTCAGAAAGATCCACTAGAGAAGGAATAGGCTCCCCACTTCAGTGTTCTTGGGCTTTCCTGGTGGCTCAGATGGTGAAGAATCTGCCTGCAATGCAGGAGACCTGAGTTCAACCCCTGGGTTGGGAAGATCCCCTGGAGGCGGGCATGGCAACCCACTCCAGTATTCTTGCCTGGTGAATCCCCATGGACGGGGGAGCCTGGCGAGCCACAATCCATGGGGTCACAAAGCATCAGATGCGACTGAGTGACTAAGCACAGCACAGCACAGAAAAATCTACCCTGAAAAGTAAATAATTACAATAATATTCTTTCAGTGCTTTGTTCAATGTATGAGGTCAGAATGAGTATGACTTTGAAAAGCAGTAGATAAAATGGTCTCATCACAAGCATGACCAGAGTGCTGGTTCTTGCAAAGTGTACTGAAAGCTGGACTGTGGAAAAGATACTGCCATCCCATTTCACATGGTTTCCAGTTCATTATGAGTCTGAATACAATGCACATCCTGTAGGGTGTATACTCCACATATTGGAATCTATTTCATTCATTATGGTTGTGCCTGATCCTTTGTGACCTTTTCATTGTTTGTCAACTAGATTATCAGAAAAGAGACATGGATGGGTTTTATTTTGTTCCAATACTTCATTTTAGTGGAGGAACTAGTAGAGAGAAATGAAGGTTATCAAAAACAAAAATCTATGTTGAAAACTTTAAATAATAAATCTTAGGGGAAAAAAGAAGAGAATTTATGGATATTAAAGCATGTGCTTACCTGGGAGAAACTTGGCCTTTATGCTGTTGTCAGCAGAATGGAGTGATTGTAAATCTTGGACCTACTTTACTCCTAGTAAAGCAGTACATTTAGATGTTAAGGGAAGGGGACAACATTTTCCAGTCCAGTCCAGTGCCACTGAAGCAAATGAGATCGCTTATGGCAGTACCACATGAATAGTTCCCTTGCCAACACCAAATATTATTACATCTCCATTAAGCATCTCCCAAAAGGCTGTGAGTAATTACCATCTTTCTTCAGGAAGAACAATAACCAGGCACTGACTTGATCCCTTTTGCTATAACTAATCATATTATGAACTATCCCATAAATATAGTATATCAGTCTGCTGCCATAACAAAGCACCACAAACTGCGTGACTTTATAACTTTATTATGTCATGGTCTGCAGACTGGAAGTCCAAGATCTGCTATTGGCAGAATAGGTTCCTTCTGAAAGCTGAGAGAGACCCTGATCCATGCTGTCCTCTAGCTTCTGGTGGTTTGCTGGCAGTCTTTGGTGTCCCTCGGCTTGTAGAGGCATCTCCTTGGTCTCTGCCTTTGTTGTCACATTATCTTCCCTCTATGTATATCTCCAGATTTTACCTTTTTTAGGCGTATTGGATTAGGGCCCAAGTATAATGACCTTGTCTTAACTATTATATCAACAATAACTCTATTTCCAAATAAGGTCACGTTCTAAGGTGCTGAAGGTCAGGAGTTCAACACATAATAAGACTGTGAATGAACCTACTGTCTGTTAAGCATGTTTCATCTGTCACTCACACATGTTTTTATTTTAAATCAGTTTCCTTTAAATGAGAAACAGTGGGAATTTCCAACTCTTGAAGTTTTGTCTCCTTTATTTGGAGCTGGAGTCCAAGGGAATAGCTCCAACTTGTTTTCTCTCTGGGGCCCCCTCATGACCAGACACTATGCTATTTGAAACCTGGAATAGAACACATGGGATGCATTCTGGTAAAGTGACTCAGACCTCTGACTCATTCTGCCCTGCATAGAGATTACCAGACGAGCTGCACCTTGGAACACTGCAGAGGGAAAAATACCAGCCTTTTCCCTTAGCATTCAGAGCACAAACCAGAAATTATTCCCAATTCCCAATAAACTCCTTCCTAGTAAAAGTTGAACATC